GGCAGGGACTGTGTGTGACCCGTCCCTGCAGCTAGCACAGGCCCCAGCATGGAGTGAATGTCCCGCAAATGTCAGATGAAGGGGAAAGTGATGTACTCGAGAAAGAATGAGGGCACGTTCCCAGCCCCATCACCCCCCATCACCCCCCATCGTTAGTGGGGCCCTGACCCCGGGAGCTGGCGCCTCTGAGGTTGGAGTTTCCTGGGTCCATTTATCAGGAGACCTCAGCTGAGGGGCCCGGCAGGACAGGCTTGGGAATCCTGATGCCACTGAGCACACTTCGAGGGTGTTGGGATGACCTCACCCCCTGAGAACTCGGCGCATCCAGCCCACTTGAGCAAAGAGGGCTGCACCTCTGGCCTGGAAGGAGCCGGTTTTTCTCCCAGCAAACGGTGTCTCGTGACCTCTGGCCTCCCGCCCGGGCCTCCTTGCGGCTGTTGACAGGAGTGTCACTGGCAACACTGAAGGGACCGCACTGAGGATTTTGTTTGGAAAGAAGAAAGGCGGGAGCAGGGTGGCAGTTCCCCATTCTGGGTGCTGGCTGACCAGGCCTCTGAAACAGAGAACAAAGTCCCATTCAGCGGGTGTCTGTCCCCTGGGTGCATGTCACTGCCCCATTTGGCAGAGGTGAGGGAGCGTTGGCGGTTTTTCTAGCCCACTTTCAAAGCTACCAATGGAAGAGGTGCTGCCTGGTGCCAAAGGAGACTGACGTCCTTGCCCTGCTTCGGGCAGTGGGAAGCCTTCCCAGTACCAGCTTTGCCTTTTCTCTAACGCACACACCACACACACATGCACGTGCACACATGTACACACGCACACCTCATGTGGCTCCCTACAGCGCACAGTGTTGGCTGGAATCGTGGACTCGGGCTCATGTCGCTTGAATCAGACTTCTCGTTCGTGGTCCACGGTCTGAGGCTGGACGTTAGGCGGGTCCAGGAAGCCCCATATCAAGTGGTGGTCATGGAGGGTGGGGACAGCTCAGAGAGAGGCCTGGACAGAATTCAAGGCCGTGACCCTGGCCCCCAACAGTTGAAGGACTGCCTTGGAGAAGAGTTGGGTGTGGGACAAGGGCTGAGCTGTCCCTCCTGCCACCGCCCAGCGTGGCTGCCTCCCAGAGCCTTCGTGTGGAACTGAAGGGGGTCAGCCTCACCCCGGAGGTTGTCCTGAAGACTAACCCAGTACACGAGCCCGCGTGGTGCGTGGTAAGGGCTGTCAAAGGCTAGCTGTGAGGGGAGGGTGCAGAGTAGACCGGGCTCCCGCTGGCCACTCTCCCCGTGGAGCGGAATCTGTTGAAAATTTCAGCCAGAACGCCATCTGCTGAATGCCAACGTGCTGGAAGCTGTCATCTCGGCGACCAGAGGAGCCAGGGCTGTTGCTTCCTGCCTGCCATCCTCCCGGGGGTGAGCGCCATCGCCTCGGGCTCTTGGTCGGACAAAGGGAAGGCTGGGCTGGGCCAGTGAGCGGGATTCATTCAGGAGGTGGCACCGTGCACATTTGGGCCACTGCTGGGATGGCTTAAAAATAGGCCTCTGTCCTTGGACATCAAGGGAAAGCAACCCAGGGTTTTCAAGAGGCCTTTCCTGGCCAAGGTCGCTGGCCCTCCGTGGGAGAAGCATTTCAGGATGTGTTCCTCAGACCCACAAGGAGACACCTCTGACCCAGGAATAAACCTTTCCTCTAATAAGGTGGTTTAGAAAAGGGGACCAAGTGTTTAGTGAACACCTACTCTGTGCCACGTACCGAGTATTTGACAAGTTCGCCTCCTTCATCCTCAATACTCTGGCAGTGTGCCGGTGACTTTTACCAGTTTTCTAGGTCTGGTTGTGGGGGACCCGGAGAAGTGAAGCATGTACCTCAAGATCACACAGCTAAGACAGGACAAAACCAGAATGCAAACCCGGGTCTGTCTCCAAACCTGTGCTCTTTCTAACCACCTCTCAAATGAGATTTCGGAAAGAAAAACACGGCGGGGAGACGGAGGCGAGGGGCTCACGGGGATCAGCGTTTAGTCAACACCTACTACCCGCCAGGACTCCAGCCAGGATGTGTCTGTGCTCTCAGGAGGATAATGAAAACGCAGTGTGGGCGAGGCTGGGCGAGGCTGTGCAAGGGGGTGACGGGGGCGACTTTTGTCCTTTCCAAACTCTCTCTAGTGTGGCTGCCGCGTTTACTGCGGTGGTTTAAATGCTGAAGTTCGGGTTTCCCGTTGACATCTCCAAACTCGGGTGCCGCTTTCCCTGAGCCGAGCTCGAAGCAGATGCTGGCGTACCATTTGGAGGCTGCTTATTGTTCTTTTATTTTAAGCATTTTCAATTTGTGTAAATAACACATCTTCTTAGAAACATTTTCACTCTGGTTTTCTTTAACTCACATCAGGGCTCTGGCCTCAGAGGGGGAACAAACAGTGTTTATTCCTCATTCCCTGAAGGAAGTTGGATCATATAATCAAGATTAAACAAATATGTAAACTTCGCTGGTTACTTGGCTGCATTTTATCCTAACATATAGTTGGTTTTGCAGGAAACTTCCCCTTATAGTAACAAAGCAGTATTTCTCCCCACCCCAGCATTCATTTAAATCATGAGGGCCACTCTGGAGGAACATCTGCTTAGAATTCCCAAGTCATTTAGTATAGAAACTCTCCGATTGAGAGATAAGGTTGGAAAAGCAACAGTGATGTCAGGGAAGTTCAAAATAATCACATAAGGGTGGCTTGTGGTCTCTCGTGCTCAGAAGGGCTTTGATCTGTGGTCATATTTAATGTTTCCTGGAGAGTGTGCCAGCTCTGGGGACCTTGGAGCAAATCCAGCCTGTCGGACATGGGAGGGGCTGCAGCCCCGAAGCCGGTGGCTTGGACAGGGCCGCAGCATGCGTGCGTGGAGACCGTGGGCTCTGCAGTCCTTGGACTGACTTTCCTGATGGCTTTCACCCGGGGGTATTCCCCACTCGTTTGATTTCCGTCCGAATGAAATAGCCCTCCAGTGGGCCCTTGCTCTCGCTCTCATGGCTCCGGAGGGGGCCGCGCCTGGCTCTCTGTCCCTGGGCCTCAGTGCCCCGGCAGGCAGTGCTGGCCTGCTCTGCTGGAAGGCCTTCGCGGCTCCCTGTCCCCCACGCTGTGCAAGCCGAGCCTCTCAGGCAGGCGCTCAGGGCATTCTTGTCTAGTCCCTGTGATGGCGATGGCAACCTCGCCCCCAGCCCTGTGAGGCAGTGGCTGGCTAACCTCAGACCCCCTCTGCCACGCCTGCCATAGTACTCACCTTCCCCACAAAGCCCCGCGTCCCCCTTCCTGCCGTAGTGGTCCCTCAGCCTGGAATTTTCCCTCTCCCCCCTCAAGACCTGGCTCTGTAGGCACCACCTTCTGTGCCCAGCCTCTGCTTGAGTCTGGGTCTCGTCTGGGCCCCACAGTCACCCATGCCTACGGTAGTCTGGCATGTCAGCACCTCCAAGTGGGCACCTTATCTGTCTTGATGACTGCTGTATTTTCAGTGCCTGGCATGGTGCCTGGCACATACTAGGTGCTCACTAAACATTTGACAAATGGATGAGTGACTCACATCCTTTATGTTCCTTTTCTGAGGTGGGACTTGTTTTTATTCCTTGCATTTTGTCTTCTGTGGGCCAGTGGCTTCTGTTTGGAGAGAGGTCTCTCAGCTTCCCGGCATGGTTTCCTCCCTCAGTGACTGGGGCCTTTCCCTTGGGTCTGCGGAGGGGTAGCCATGGCATGCCTGTCTCATCGTTGCCTCTCCCTCTTCATTTTCTCCTGTCCTTGCTCCCATTAGCCTCAGTATTCACTGAATCCCCCGATGCGCCCAGGGCACAGCGCACCCTGTGGCTGGGCATAGGAGGAGTGTCCTGCAGTGGCCTGTCGTTCCCTGGGTTGACATTCTTCTCCCGTCACTACAGAGCACTGTGTGCCAGGGGCAGCCTGCAATAAAGGAGCACTTGCTATAGAAATGTTGTGAACAAGCAGCAGAGTCTCGTGCAGTAATTACCTACCTGCCACCTCCCAGGCTGCAGAGCCCCCAGGCTGCCCCTGGGATGGAGGAGGAGAAGTGGGAAGGATGGAGCCTTCACCTCAATCCCAGGCCACCTGGGTTCATGGCCAGCAGCCAGATCCTTTCAAAGAGACTGTCCCAACATTCTCCAGGTCCTTTGGGGCCTAGTTCACTTACAAATGAATCCTGAAAGGTGTGTGTTTTAGAAAAGTCACCTTGCTTATAAAGAATGTCTTCATTTTCTGTGGGTACAGGGAAGGGGAAGTCACAGAATTCTAGCCTGGGTCTCCTTGGAACCTCGGGATAGTATCAGCTGCCTATTAAGCCCATACTTTGTGCCAGGCAGTGTTCTAGAAACTTCATCCACATGATCTTCTGGCAGCTGTGTGAGTTAAGTCATGTCCCCATTTTACAGGCAAGGAAATGGGCTAGTGCCACTGTCCCCCGCAGGTCACACGGCCAAGAAGGGCTGGAGAGCTGGGCTTCCAGACGACGCTCTGTTGCCTTTCCCTTTATTGTCAGAGGGTCCCGGGACTGTGTTCTTCCTGCTGCCTTTTCTGCTTTGCTTCCGAACAAAAACTGCACAGAGAAAAGCAGCAGAAGGCCCCCCCAAACCTCCCCAAGAATCCAAGGCCTCTGTTGCCCTTGGACAAACTGCAGCCCTAAAGTGGCTCTCGGAGGGACGGACGGATGTGGTGGAGATGGAGAAGTCAGCTGAAGCCTGGCTGCTGTGTGCCAGCTCATGGCATCGGTGGGTCTGGGAGAGACGGCTCTGAACGTGTTTCACCGCACACTCGCACACACCCGGTTTGCTCCTTTGTGGAGTGGGTGTAGCGGCTTTGCGGTGGGAGCGTGGGCTGACTGGGGTGGCTAGAACCTTCTCAAGTTTACCAAGTACCGATCTGATTAAGATGGAATTTGAAATGGAGATGATTATTAACATAGGCACCGGGGCACACGGTTGGGAGGGTCCCTAACCCTGCTGCCTCTCTCTCCCCGCAGACTCGAGCCCTCAGGCGCGCCTCCTGGCCACCAGGCCATGCTGCGGGCCGGGCCCCGAGCGGCGTCCAGTCCTGGGCGAAGCCCCGCGCTTCCACGCGCAGGCCAAAGGCAAGAACGTGCGGCTGGACGGCCACTCGCGCCGGGCCACACGGCGAAACAGCTTCTGCAACGGAGTCACGTTCACGCAGCGGCCCATCCGGCTGTACGAACAGGTGCGGCTGCGCCTGGTGGCCGTGCGCCCGGGCTGGAGCGGCGCGCTGCGCTTCGGCTTCACGGTGCACGACCCGTCGCTCATGAGCCCGCAGGACATCCCCAAGTACGCCTGCCCGGACCTCGTCACGCGGCCCGGCTACTGGGCCAAGGCGCTGCCGGAGAACCTGGCGCTGCGGGACACCGTGCTGGCCTACTGGGTGGACCGCCACGGCCGCGTCTTCTACAGTGTCAACGACGGCGAGCCCGTGCTCTTCCACTGCGGCGTGGCCGTGGGCGGCCCACTCTGGGCGCTCATCGATGTTTATGGCATCACCGACGAGGTGCAGCTCCTCGGTAGGTCGCTGTCCCTGCTGCAAGGGGGCGGGGCGGCGCTCCCTCGGTCTAGCCCGTGGTTGTCTGTGCACCTGGATGTGAATTTCTTTAACACAACACGAGGGCTCACTTCGCCAGGCTAGTCGTAGTTCTCAGCGATTGATACTTTTTAACTCGTTTATCAGGACAACTCACGATCCCTGTTTTATATTTAAGAAAACTGAGGCACAGAGAGGTTAAATGATTTGAATTGCAAAGCCCGAGTGGTCCAGAGTCCATTGTCTGGCTCCGGTCTATTTGCTTACCCTTCAGTTATTTGCTCATTCACTCATTGATTCTTTCATCTGTTCCATTGCTCGTATCTTCACCCCCTTGACCACTTAACTCCTTCACTCACTCATTCACACATTTCTTCATTTGCTCGCTCATTCATCCATCCATCCATCCATCCATCCACTCACTCAGCAATCAAATTTATGCCCTAATCCTCGAGTATCTACACTGTCAGGCAGTGAGCAACCAGCCCACTGTTAAGATAGGCTCAAGGTCCACTGGGGAGGCAGGCAGACAAGTGTGGCCCTGACTAACAGAGGCGGCAGCAACTCACGCCGAAATCCTGCCATTGAGAACTCATGGGAGTAGAAGTTTGCTGCCCTTATCTTGAAAGACATACTGAATTTTTCAGATGAAATGGCATGTCTAGCATTTGCTTCAAAATAATGTAGGAGGGAGAGTTGGTAGAGGTGTCAATGAAACATGATTGACCATGAACTGATAATTGTTGAATCTGGATAATCAGTATTCGTTAAGCTATTTGTATAGGTTAGTTTTTCAAAAATACAATGAAAAAAGAAAGAAAAATAAAAAAATAAAATGAGCCCTGGCCAGTTTGGCTCAGCGGTTAGAGCGTTGGCCTGCGGTCCGGAGAGACCCAGGTTCGGTTCCCGCTAAGGGCACGTACCTTGGTTGCAGTTTGTCCCTGACCCTGGTTGGTCGTGCGGGTGGCAGCCACTCGATGTGTCCCTTTCACATCGATGTTTCTCTCTCTCTCTCTCTCTTCCTCTCTCTCCCTCCCACTCTATCTGTACAAAGAATGGAAAAAATGTCCTCGGGTGAGGATTAAAAAAATAAATAAAGAAAAATAAAATGAAAGAAAAAACACCAGGAGACCAACCAAACAGGTCTGTGAACCAGGGTCAGAACTTGGATAGCCAGTTTGCAAAATCTGCCCTGTACGGAGTGGGTAGGAGTGTGAAATAACTTATCAGCCTCTCACCAGGGGCTTAGGCAGGCTTTTTGAAAAAGCATGTTCATTATAATGACTTAATTTTATATTTGGAAAACTGAAGAGGAAGAAATCTTTTATTCCATGATATAACCTATAGAATAGCAATAATTAACAAAATCTTAGCCAGAGGGATCTGATTTTAAAGTTTGAGAAACACATTTTCTTGCTTTGTTTACTTATTAAGGTTAATACATTTTTATCACTAAACACACTTCAAAATACTTTTATAACTTTCAATTTCTTTGTTTGTTTGTTTATTTATTTATTTTTAATCCTCACCCAAGGATATTTTTCTATTTTTCTTCAGAGTGGGAGGGAGGGAGAAGAAGGGAGAGGGGGAGAGAAAGAAACATGGATGTGCGAGGGACACAGACTAGTTGCCTCCTGCACAGCCCTTGGGGACAAACTGCAACCCAGGTAACATGCCCTTGATTAGAATTGAACCTGCGACTCTTTGGTCTGCAGGCCCATACTCTAACCACTGAGCAAAACTGGCCTATTTCTTTGTTATTAAGAGTGTCAGTCTGTGCTAGAGACCTCATTCATTCATTTATTCATCCACTAAACTACATTAGAATGAGGGCTATTTGCCAAGTACTCTGCTAATTCCTGAGAACATGGTGGTGAACAGACTGGCACAGACCCTGCCCTCCAGGAACTCACGTCCTGGCTGGGGAGACAATCAACTGTATAATGACCTCTGTTACCTGAACGATAAATACTTTTATTTTGCTTTTGTACTTAACTATAATATGTAGTATCAGTATTTTTTCATATCACTAAAAATTATTCAAAAATATTTTCACGACTATGACTTTTTGAAAACTCCTTGGTTTCTTGTTTTTAGCCTGAGCCCATCTCTTATAGAAACCTTTTACATGCAGGGTTTGAGTGCCACCCAGACACTGCTCCCTGCTGCCTCCGTTCAGAGTGAGCATGTGTTCAAGAGCGGGGACTCCAGCCAGACAGCCTGGGTTCTTTTCCTGCTTTGCCACTTAGTTACGGTGTGACCCTGGGCATATTCTTTAACCTCTCTGTGCCTCAACTTCCTTCTTTGCTAAATGGCCAGTCATAACAGTACACACCTCACAGGTTATGTGAGGACTAAATGAGCTAACTCGTGAAAGGAGCTTAAAATAGCACCTGTCACACAATAAGGCCACAAATAAAGAGCAAAAAGGGGTCCCTCTCTGCCTTGGAGCTTATGTCCTAGTTGGGGAGGCAGACAATAAAGGGTTTTCAAATGCCCTTTAAATCTTCAAAAGTATGAAAACCTCTGAGGGAGGGGAGGAGGGAGGAACAAAGGAGGGGAAGCAAAAGAAAAAAGGAGGGAAGAAGGGAGGGAGACATAAGTTAGGCAAGAGGAAGAGAAAAGGAGGGTGGAGAAAAGGGGGAAAGAGAGGGGTGAAGAGAAGAAAGGAGGGTATATGAACGGGACGACGGGCCTTATCTGCCCATCCCAAAGGTAAGAATGTTTCGAGGAAACGGAGGATTATGTTTAATCCAATTCTGTGCATCGGTGATTCTTAAATCAATTCACAAATGAACCAGAAAAAGAATGGGGGCGGGTGGGTGAGGATGGGGCCCCTGGAGGCGCGGGGAGGCCGGCGCTGCCGGGCAGGCTCCGGGCTGGGCTCCGGGCTGGGGCGAGCTGGGGCGAGCTGGGGCGAGCTGGGGCTCCGGGCCGAGCGGCGCCCTCACCGCCCTTCCTCTGTCCCGGCTCAGAGAGCGCGTTCGCCGACACGCTGCCGCCCGCGCGGCTCAGCCAGTCCCGCTTCAGCGCCTGCCCGCCGCCCAGCAGCCTCGACGCCGCCAACTTCGACAACAACGAGCTGGAGAACAACCAGGTGGTGGCCAAGCTGGGCCACCTGGTGCTGGGCCGCGCCCCGGGCCCGCCGCCCGCCGACGCCGCCATCCCGTGCGGGCCCCGCGAGCGCCCCCGGCCCGCCTCGTCGCCCGCGCTGCTGGACGTGGACCTGCGCTTCCACGTGACGCGCGGGCCCGACGTGAGCCTGTCGACCGACCGCAGGGTGGCGTGCGCGCCGCGGCCCGACGGGGGCCGCACGCTCGTCTTCTCCGAGCGCCCGCTGCGGCCCGGCGAGAGCCTGTTCGTGGAGGTGGGCCGCCGGGGGCTGCCGGCGCCGGGCGCGCTGGCCTTCGGCATCACGTCGTGCGACCCGGGCGCGCTCCGGCCCGCCGAGCTGCCCGCCGACCCCGACGCGCTGCTCGACCGCAAGGAGTACTGGGTGGTGGCGCGCGCCGGACCCGTGCCGAGCGGCGGTGACGCGCTCAACTTCACGCTGCGGCCCGGGGGCGACGTGCACCTGGGCGTCAACGGGCGCCCGCGCGGCCGCCTGCTCTGCGTCGACACTACGCAGGCGCTCTGGGCCTTCTTCGTGGTGCGCGGCGGGGCCGCCGGCCAGCTGCGCCTGCTCGGTGAGTCCCCCGACTGCGCGTGCGCGGGGCCCGCGCGCCTTGGAGGGCTGGAGCCTTCGCTGAAGCCCAGCCCGCGGTTCCTGAACTTGAGCCCGCATCGGAACCGCCCGCCTCCACCTAGAGTTTCCAGATCAGTAGGGCTAGGTCCCAGGGTGATGGCTTTTCAACATGTGCCCCAGGGATGCCCAGGTTGCACCTCCTTGAACCACACTGTCTACACCGACCTAAGTACCTGGTATAGGACCTGGCAGGCTTTATGCAGTCGGTGCGTGGTCAGTACACCCTTCGTTTCCCTTATGATGATAGGATTTATTATGTTTTACATATGTAACGCATATTAAGTGTAGGAGAAACAGTAAATACAACTACACTTACAGGAGGAAATAACATCGTCCACAGAATGGAGGCTTGAACCATCCTATTTTGAGACGATTCTTGCCTTCATTCACGTCCTAAAGAGACACGGAGCACCCACCAGCTTTGGGCCAGGCCCTGGGCTCCAGGATGGAGCAGGGCAGAGGGCGGGACACAGACGAGGGAATGGGGAGCGGCACCACCTGGTGTTTGCAGGGCAGAGGGGCGCCTCTCCTGCTTGGCAGGGGGCGGGGTGTCAGGGAAGGTTCCCAGAAAGCACAGTTCCATTTTCATGGTGTAAGAAGTCAAGTCCCAGTGTTAACAGAAACAATGAACATTTGCAATGTTATCTCATTCGAGTTTATCCTCCTGATGACGGTATGAAACCGATACTATCCCATCATGGTCAGCCATGAAGACGTTGGGCAAATCAGAGCCTCTCTGAGCCTCAGTTTCTTTCTGTATAGAAAGGTAGTAACAGCCTGCATCCTGGGGTTATGAGGATGAAATGATGAGGTGAGTACAGGGCTTTCAGCAGGTGCCTGCCACCTTCAGCATGTTTCATAAGTACCGATAGTGAAAACAGCGACTGTTGTTTGATCTAGATGTTGAAAGAATGTCATTCGGATTTCACCCCTCTTTCCGTCTCAGAGTTCACCTCCCTCTGAGTTGGCTTCACTCAGGCAGGACCTACAGTGCCAGGCTAACCTCCCAATGGAATGACCCTTCTTTCCCAATAGTCTGAGTGAAAGTTCTTGGAAAGGCCTCACTGGCCTTCACTGGGTTACATGGCCTTCCCTACACTCCCATGGAGACCGAGAGATGGAGGTTCTTGCTGGCCTGGATCGTGTGAGTGAAATGAAATCCCAGTACTGTTTCCCAGAAATAAATGGGAATGATGGCTGGGCCAGCAAGTAACAGATGTCTACCACGTGTGTACGATTCCATCAGAGCCCCGTGAGGTAGCTCTCGTCCTCCCATTAGACAGACCGGGAGGCTGAAGCGCAAAGCAGCGGAGAGCCAGGGGCTAGCGGAGCAGCACCACCTGACGGAGTCTCTTTGCTCTCAGGCACCCTGCAGTCCAGCCCTGCGATCCCATCTCCATCGGGGTCCCTCAGTGGCTCCCAGGACGATAGTGATTCCGATATGGCCTTGAGTGTCAACCAGTCCTCCTCGGCATCCGAGTCATCCCTGGGTAAGGAAATGCAGACCCTGGGGTGGAGGGCAGGGCAGGGGCGGCCTGACTCCTTCTGCTGTGCCAGCGCCTTCCCGGGCTAAGGTGGCCTCCCTTCCCCACTGCACCCTCTCCTTCCTCAGCTGTGCATCCAGCTGGAAAGAGGAGAAACATCTAGATACGGTGCCCCAAAGGGTGATAATGGTGCCTGCTGCTTGGTAGTAGGAGGGTAGGAAAAGGGGCAAAGCCCAGAGGAAAATCCAAAATTGGTGTCTCCCCAAGTTGTTCCCCCACAAGTTCTACCATAGAAGCTTTGCCTCTCAGGGTGGTCCCAGCAGAACCCGAGAATCACATTATTCAGGTCTGGCCTGGTTTTCCTCTCTGCAGTGACAGCCCCCAGCTCCCCGCTGAGCCCCCCGGTGTCCCCCGTGTTCCCCCCACCAGAACCAGCAGGCAGCAAGAATGGCGAGTGCACGGTGTGCTTCGACGGCGAAGTGGACACAGTCATCTACACGTGTGGACATATGTGCCTGTGCCACAGTTGTGGCCTGCGGCTCAAGAGGCAGGCCCGGGCCTGCTGCCCCATCTGCCGGCGGCCCATCAAAGATGTCATTAAGATCTACAGGCCGTAGCCTGGCCCACCGACGGGCCTTGGCCAGAGCAAGGTCACCTTTCTGACGCCCCTCTGCACTGGGCAACCACCCTGGCCACCAGGGAGTCCAAGGGCAGCGGCCATCTTGTCTATCACTCTCCAGTGGTGGGTGAGGCGTGACAGTCGTGGAGACGAGGCCCTGGGGGTCTGAGCCCAGGCGAGGGTTGCTTCTGGCTCATAAGTGCTTTGCCCCCAAAAGGCCGTCCCAATATGAAGCTCAGGAACTGCCTGGCAGACTGCCTGTCGCTCCCGTGACCTCTCGGCTGGGAAACAGCATCCTCTGTGCAATGCTTTTTGCTGGGGGTGGGTTGAGGTGTGTGCGTGTGCGTGTGCGTGTGCGTGTGTGTGGAGGGGAAAGGGAGAGAGGGAGACCGAGAAGGAGAAGGCATGTGTGAGAGAATGAGAGAACGCATAGGTATTTATCCAGGGATCCTGGCTCTAGGAGGTTATTTAACACTAAGGAATGTGCAATCCGGAGCCTAGACATTAGCAAGACTAAAAATTGTCCACTTTCTGGGGCTGTGACGTCAGCTGGGTTTGGAGGTATAAAGCCTGCACCTGAACAGAACTCCCTCGGATGGTATAGAAAGGGGACACTCAGATCTCCGAAGAGGAGGAAAAAATAGCTCATTGTTTACAGCTCCAGAGCTGCAACTCCTTGGGGGTTAGGTGGGCGGAGAACATAAAAGAACAGTTTGCTTCTTTGGTTTCTAACTCCGTCCTGGAGAGGCGTTTTGATGGGTGCTGCAGCCATCTGAGAGCGCTGGGCACTGTCGCCCCAGAAGCCTTTTCACCCCTTCACCCCCAGACAGCCTAATAATAAGCACACTGCACTTGACCCTGTCCCTAGATGCTTTTTGGTCTGTGCCACCCCACCATGTACAAGAAGACAACAGGTTCTCTTTTCCTGGGGGCGGGAAGGAAGCCTAGAGGCCGGGACTCGCCTGGACTTGGAAAAGCCACTGCAGGGCACGGAGTTGTCCACGATTCCTGTTGTCACCCCTCGCCTGTGGACATCACCAGGGCAGGACCAGGGCTTTGTTCAGACTCTCAGCTCATCTTCCCCTGCTGATTACTAGGGTGTTCATTGATCCTTAGGATGTTAACTAACAATTGAGATGCTAAGCGAATATGCTGACATTGGGACTGTCCCCCGTTCCATCCCTCCTCTCTGCGTGCCCTCAGTTCTGGGCTCCTTGTCTGCCCTGCCTTGTGCTGTGTCTTTCGGCAAGTCCCTGGGCCTCTCTGTTTCTCAGTCCCCAGTCTGACCAAGAGGAAGCTGCCCACTCCAGAGCTCTTAGGAGGACGAGCACAATGTTCCCAAAGGCCTGAGACACCTTGCAAAAAGCAGGTATTACTTTTCTTACAATTCCCAACCTGTCCATCTGCTGAGGGAGGCGGGGGAAGGACATTCAGACTTCAGGCGTTTGCATGACACGTTTGCTAGGTGTCGGGGGCTCAGAGCCCAGCTGGGCCACGTCCTTGTCATATCAAGTCCCTTGAGACCAGTCAGTGGTGCCATTGTGATGCCCCAGGTCTTAGACCACCTGCTTCTCTGTCTGGAAGTGGTCCAGTTTTCTGATCTCAACTGCAGAAACCCTACCCTTGCCCCTTTCAAGAATCCCTGATTGGTCCTTTTTCCCTGGTGAGCTTAGCAAACACGCCCACATTTTAATTTTGCAGCAGAATCTTTGGGGGAGCTACTGGAACCCCAGCGTTTGCCAAGATAAGCGTTTGAGAAGCCAGGCAGCGCTCGGCGCCCTGCTGAATGTCCAGCGGGAGTTTTCCGTCCCCCGCCCCCCCCATGTGCTGGGTGCTGGGCGCAGGCCCTGTGTGCGAGGGCTCATTGCCCCCCAGGACTGTGGCTCTCCAGGCAGCAGTGCCCCTGGCTGGCCTGAGCCGGTCACAGCCCTGGTAGTCTCAGCGGCCTGGGGAGCCAGCTCCTGTCTCCTGCTACTTGCCTTTCATGACAGTCCCTCCAGGTTCCAGCCGGGGTCACGTACAGACGCCACCAGGAAACCAGTGGCCCGAGGGCCTGGGCTCAGGGTGGACCAGGCTGTGCTCCTGGCAACCTGTTACCTGGGACCAAAGGAGCCAGTGGCCTGTTGACTTGCTCTGCAGTTGCTATAAATAGTCTCCCTGTGTCCAGGAGGAACAAAGGGGGTGTTTATCTTCCAAAAACCAGACCTTTCCTGATGCTCTGAACCGATCTCAGTGCTACAGGAGCTGCTTGCGTGGCCTCGTGTTTTGTCTTGAGACCAGCAGGGGAAAGGACAGGGGACTGCTTGTGTTTCTTCTGCGTGAGGTGCCACCCCACATCCATGCCGTGAGGCAGGTCTTATGACCACTCTGAGCTTAGACAGCATGATTATAAAACACCAGTGTACGTCCCACTAAGGGGGAGACACTGCCAGTTTGAACTGTGAGCTGCCACAGCTATCCCATTCATGCCCCCCAGAGATGGTGAAATGTGGGGGGAACCTGTTACTTAGAACTGATGGAATTTGGAATTAACCCCATTTGGCAATAAAAGGACTGAGGTCCTGGGAGGGGGTGACCTAGAATCACCGAGCAGGAGGTGGCAGGACTGGAATTCAAGCCCAGAGTGTATAGTGCTGAATCCCACACCCTCTACTGCTTGGCCCGAGTTCCAGAAAAACTGAGACTGCCTGAGTTTTCTTACTTTAAACTCATCGGACCAGCCCCTGGAGAGAATCTGGGCACCTGTACCGGGGTGGAGAGTCCCAGCCCCAGGCTGTGGCCCCTGTGCCATCCACACCGCTCTTAGGCCCCTCTGTCTCCTACCTGCTCCTGGCCACGTTGACCTGTGTGACAGCTTGAGTCCAACCCAAGGGCCTCTGCCTGTTGTTACCCAGGGGTGCTGGGGGGGGGGAGGCAGCTTTGGGGAGGAGCTGAGGGCCTTGTCCTGCCACCTTCCTGGGCCTGGTGACCACCACCCGCTCAAGCAGGACCCCAGGAGTGGGTCAAGGGAGACCTGAGGGTGCCCCCATGTTGTGGTCTCGTGCCTCTTGCTTTTCGAATCGCCAGAGAAATTGGGCTGTTTCCCAGTCAAAACAAGCTCCTTCTAATCCGTTCCCAGAACTTGGAGTCTCCTGGGACTTAGCAGCTGCTCCCCGAGCTGCAGCACCACTTTTTCAGCCATTCAACACCCCCTGGTCTGCATGGCCTGTGTCTGGACACAGGGTTGGGAACCGGGACTAAAGACCAAGCCACAGGGCGCTCGGTCCAGAGCGGGAGGCCAAGAGCTCACATCTGGTTTGACCCCTGTGGCCGTGGGTCCTGGGCCCGCATGTGGTAGGTACTCATTAAAGGTTCGCTGAATCCATTTGAAATCGGGTTATGAGGGTTCAGGGGTTTGACAAAACACATACATGCACACAAAGCCATTCCACAAACATCCGCTGAATGCCTGCTAGGTGTGGGGTGCAGGGAGGACGGCCGAGAACAGCGCCCGAGGTCCGGCGCCAGGGGTAGGGACGTTAAGAGGGTGAAGAGACGTTCGGGGCAGACTCACCTGGCCCCGTCAGCCCTGCTGCTCGCCTCGGGCCACGCTGAATGCCCGACTGCTCTCTGGACCCAGAGCCTCCTGCCTGCTCGGGAAAGCCTCCTTTGCGATTTAAATGCCAGGCACCATGCAGTCGGTGCGCTGCTGCCCACCGGCCTTGAACCCCCAAGGCGCGCCTGACTGATGACCACCCTCAGGTCCTGCTACCTTCCGGCCCGTGGGACTGCTTCCTGGAAATCAGTCCCCAAGTCCCGGAGAACCCCCAGTCAGTTCCAGTTGCTAAGGGGATGGTGCAAAACCCTGGAAACCCGGGGGCGGTGACCTCCCACCAGACCCGGCTCAGGAGGACAACGGCTCAGGAACAGGGCCTCCTGGCGTTCCTCGGTCTCGTGTCCCCGTCTTTCCCGAGTCCCTAACGAAATGACTTGTACGACAATCTGTCTGTGCCTTATGAAAGTGTCTGTGCACTTTTTATTCTTTTTTAAAAGCAACTTTCGAAGTGGGCAGGGGGCTAGCATACATTGTGGTATTCTAGAAATCTGTGATGGTCCCTGCAACTCTTCCGCGTTGTCTTCATGTTGGACTGGTGAAGTGTCCGTCCCCCTCCCCACCCCCCGCTACCTGTGTACAGACCTTTTTATAAATGTCTCTTGCTCTTCTTATTTTTCTGATTCAATACTGTGATTTCTGTAATAATGGTTTTAAAACTTGGGGTGAGTGGGTTGGGAAGGGTTTGCACTGGTCCTGTGTGTTGTGCTTTTGTGTGTTGTGTGTTTTGATTTTGGTCTGTTTTTATATTAACATAAGTTTCCTGTTTAAAAAAAAAAAAACAAATACAACTTTGGCTTGTTAAAAAAGAAAGTCTCTCCAGAACTCAATTTTTAAAATCACAGTTGTATACACTGTTGGGGAGTGGGGGTGAGGGGTACAAATTTTTGCCAGCCTCGAGGAAACCATTTGCAAAATGTCTCTAGAGCCCTGACAATGTTTGGTCCTTTTGCCAAGTAACTCCCGCAAAAATATTGCAAGAAAATAATTCTAATCAAAGATTAAGCTGTATATGGAAAGATATTCATGGCAGCATTGTTTATAATGGTAAAAAACAAAACAAAACAAAAAAAAAACACCCAAAACGATAAGCTACCCCAATGTCCAATGACCCTTAGTGACAGAAACCCAACTCGCAGTGGCTTAAGGGGATTAAAGAGCTCAGGGAACTGGGAAATCCAGTAGCAGAACCCAAGAGCCCACTTCAAGAGCAGCTGGATGCAGAATGTGAAATGCAGCAGCAGGACTTGTCGCTCCCCGCCCTCTGCCCTCTGCCCTCTGCCCTCTGCCCTCCTTTGCTGCCTCCAGGTTACCAGGCAGGGTCTCAGCCAGCCTTTCAGCAACCCCTGGGTGGGCCAACCTGGATCACGTGCCATGTCCGGAGCCAATCCCAGAGGCCATGGGGATAGGGAGCTGTGATTGGTCAGACCCAGGATATGCGCTCACCTCCACCCACTAGCTGCCCCCAGCGTGGAACTGAGGGTAGGGAATCCCATCCCTGGGAGAAACTGGGGCAAAGCAGGGATGCTGGGCCGGCAAAACAACAGGTGTGTCTCTGGGGAAGGTCGGAGAAGCCATGATACAGATACAGCCCCGGTTAACAGCATGCGCTGTGAAGCCAGACAGCGGGGCCTCGACACGACATTGGGCCGGACACTCAAGCTCTTTGTGCCTCCGTCTCCTCACCTGCAAAGCAAGAAGAATAAGAGCTCTGATTTTAGGGTGGGGGTGAGCATTACTGAGATTGTGCTGGTGGTTTGCTAAGATTTTGGGAAAACCAAGGTATGTAACTACATACACTCTAGTCTCGTGGCTGTAAAAAGAAAAAGGAAAAAACACCACCACCACTCACCCAACAGTCCCCAAACCCGACGTACACTAGAATGACCAACACAAAAGAAGCCAAACATCCATGGGGACAGGGGCTGGGTGATGGTGTTACTGGTGAATTTTTCCCATGTTCTCCAAATTTTCTATAATGACCCATGATGACTTTTAACTTGAACTGTTACTTGAAAAAAAAATGATCTCCCTACTCTGCAAAAAGCAAGGAGAACTGCTGGCCCTGGCTGGAATTCGTCAGGAATTCCCAGGCTGATTGTCTGAGCCTGAGGTCCAAATTTAGTCATGGTGGAGATAAGGGCCTGCAAGTTTCTAGGGGAGGCCAGGCTGGGCGGATCAATTTGGTTGGGCTTCCTCTGGGCCAGGCTTTAGGGCCCAGATCCCTGGGATGGAGCCTTGTAGAGCTGTGGGGGCGGGGAAGAGGGTGCAGGGGCTGTCCAGGCCTGTCCCTCCTGGCTTGCTAGAACAGCCTGGCTTGGTGACGCTGTCGTAGGAGCAGTAGGGTCAGAGAAATGAGCCAGTATTTAACAAGCAGAGAAAACCCTCGTTTTCACACATTCTCGGAATGAATCTTCACAATGATGTCTGTCTCCTCCTTTTCCAGGCCCCTCCAAGGTAGAAGTCAGATTGGACGCCGGGCGTACCTGCTCCAGAAAAGGCAGGCTCTTTCAGAGAGGCACGTTTTGCAGCCTTCGCCCTATGTCTCAGTTAGAGGCAGAGTCTTCCCAGAACTCAGGCTCCTCTCTCTCCTCCTAGGTATCCTCCTTATGATCTCATCCACTTTTTCAGGGCCAGGGGACATTTTCATAGGTACCACATAAGACCTTTTTTATTTTTAAATAAAAATGTTGGGGAGGGGGGATCATATTAATCTATGCTTTTTTGGTTATAAGAGACTGAAACCCAACTTAAGAAAAGCCTAAGAAACAACTCACATCATTAAACAGGTCAGTTCTAGCTTCAGGAATGGCTGGATCCAGGTGTTCACATGATGTCATTGGGCATGTATCTCTGTCTCTTAGTGCTGCTTTCCTCTGGGTTGACATCATTCTCAGGCAGGTTCTCCCTCTGTGGTAACCAGGGGCTCTTACCTTATATCATGCCAGCTTAGTAACCCTTTAAAAACGTTTAGGAAAAGTCTCAAGCTGTCTTTCCTTTGACCTCTTGGATCAAAAACTCAGTGTCTGAACCAGTCTCTGTCACATGCCCACACTTGATTGAAAGAAAAAAACAGGTATGACACGGCTCTTTCCCTCCAGAACCAACCGATCTGGAGTGGAAGGCAGACCATAGACAGACATG